CCAGCTCTATATGCCTGCTACGGAGTCTACCTGATACTAACACCCGAACCTCTTCCTCCCCAAACACACACACACACGAAGCTGTCTATACACCCTGATTAATAGAACTCTTAATCAACGCAACAGCGTCCAATCTATCTCCACTGGACATCGCGTTAATTGTACCGAGCACTAAGCACCGTGTAATGAGTGCGGCGTGCTTTCCTGTGGACTCTATCTGGGTTTATTATCCCGCTTCCGGATTGGAATTGCCTTTCCTTAATGATTCAGTGATTAGTTGACTTTAAATCGTCTTGCATTGCCTGGGACGGTTGATGAGTGTTTTGTGTTTGTGTGGATGACCGACTGTAAATTGCCGTCACCAGGGCTGGAAATTAAAGGTGGTCCAATGGCCACTGACCACTAGAATGTTGGCTGGAACAACTGAAAAGATATTTTGGTACATTTTTGGGACCGAATTCCCTGTTTACTCTGCAATTACAGTGCGCCTGGCAGTGAGTATAAGCAAGTTGACTTCAAGTTGAAGTCATACAAAACTTTAAAAAAACTAGAACACTTTGTATTAGCCTAGTATAGTACCCTTGTATGTTTGTTATGTATGTATGTATGTATGTATGTCTAAGTCAAGTAGTGTATCTTTGGTCTCCACTTTTCTACATACGTTTGTTATGTGTCTGTTGAGTCTTGACCTGTAGCTAGCCCGTCGTGGCATGAATGTATAATAAATGTCTTTCACTCATTCATTTTGGGGTCAGTGCTGGGACAATAGGAAGATAAGATAATTTCGAGGCCTGCATCACGAGTTCACTGAACGCCTTAAATAAGTGTTTTGTGTTTGTGTGGATGACCCACTGTAAATTACCATCACGAGTCCGTCATATGTATTACCTAGGGAATTGTCGTGTGACCGGCTTCACTACTGACCATAATGGACACAGACAGCTAAAAAAATAACAAGAAATAGCCACGTGCACGCCTTCAAGTACCAGGATTAAGGTGTTTAAAATCCATTATTTCCCTAGAATTATCGTAAAGTGGAACTTGCTGCCACTAAATAAAGTAGGAGCGGAAGAAAAAACAAATTAGAGTGTCGGACATCAAATAATCAGAGGCAACCATTACGATCAGAAAATAACAATAAATGGCCATGCCTTCAAGTACCAGGATTATGGCCTTCAAGTACCAGGATTAAAATTCGTTATTTCCCTATAATTATCGTAGAGTGGAACTTTCTGCCACTAAGAACAGCAAGAGAGGAAGAAAAACAAGAGTGAGTAGAGTGTCGGACATTAAACGATTTAGAGGCAACCATTGACTGTCCACCCAGTACATGCATATGTTGAGATTACTAAAGGACGCACCAAGTACTACGAGTATTTAAAGTATCTAATACAAGCTCAGAGAAGAACAAGAAATAGTCATGCATTCAAGTACAAAATTTTCAACCAGGGTTGAGGTTATGGGTCCTGGAAACGTCGCTAAAGTTCTACCACACTTTAGTTTCACTTTGGCGTTGTTGTACAACAGCATTTATCAGATCACTCCAGCCAAAAAAAAATTCCAGCCTACCACTGACCCTATTTTTCAGGGCTCCAAAACAGAACAGAGCAACGACCGTCACGATTATACCCCAGACGTAACAAACGAGTGGCGTCAGGATTCTAATAGAGCGTTATCCTAGTTCTCTGCAGGCATTAACGATCACAGGCATCTTCATACAACCACTCACAGACATCAGACATCCCATGGTAGTGTCTGTGACCGTGATCAAAGTATAGTATACTTTGCTGAATGATTTAGAGCTAGATGTTAAAAGGTTAAGTGTAACAAGTAGTTTGAGAACGAAAAAGAATCGAGAAGAATCTGAATTTAGTAGTATTTACTTAGTTGCAGTTACTGATGATATTGAATATGATTTTTTTAATGTAACGTTATCTCTATCCCATTCTTTTGTTGTGACCTGTACTTAACCCAGTGGGTATGTGCGTACAATAAAGGTCGTCATTCATTCATTCATTCATTATTCATTATTGTGACAGGGATATAGGCGGATCTGATGAACTATTATAATGGCCCATCCATTGTGAGGAAGGAAAACAAATGAAAGCAAAGTGTCGGTAATACGTATACATGAAACAAATTTGATAGATATGGTTGATAAAAAATTGTGCGTTTTAATCTTACTGTAAATTGTATTACTTATTATTGTGAGATGCATAGAGCCGTATCTGATGCACTATTATAATGGTCCATCCATTGTGAGGAAGAAAAACAAATGAAAGTAAAGCATCGGTAATTAGACAATCAGAGGGGACCATCAGCATTAACTGTCGGCCCGGTACATGGCTAATACATCAGCGGTGTCAGGGCTTATGAGATCTACTCTGATGAACAGTGACCTAGTCAGCTACCTCCGGTACTATATATTAGGTACAGAAGAAACCTACAGGTGGGGTCGCTGGAAGACAGACGAAGAATGCCCAGACTGTGCATGATTTACAAAAAACATAAACTGGTGGACGTACCAATCACTAAGTATCTGAAAAGA